GAGAAGGTCCAGGGGAGGGCAACAAAAATGATCAGGGGGCTAGGGCACATGACTTATAGGGAGAGGCTGAGGGAACTGGGCTTATTAAGTCTGCAGAAGAGAAGAGTGAGGAGGGATTTGATAGCAGCCTTCAACTACCTGTAAGGGGGGAGGGTTCCAAAGAGGATGGAGCTCGGCTGTTCTCAGTGGCGGTGGATGACAGAACAAGAAGCAATGGTCTCAGGTTGCAGTGGGGAGGTTTAGGTTGGATATTAGGAAACACTATTTCACTAGGAGGGTGGTGAAGCACTGAAATGGGTGACCTAGGGAGGTGGTGGAATCTCCATCCTTAGTGGTTTTTAAGGCCTGGCTTAACAAAGCCCTGACTGGGATGATTTAGTTGGAGTTGGTCCTGCTTTGAGCAGGGGGTTGGACTAGATGACCTCCTGAGGTCTCTTCCAATCCTAATCTTCTATGATTCTATAAATCATATTAAGCTTTTGGCCTCAGTGATGTACCTTGTATCAATGAGTTCTACAAGATAATTATGTTGTATAAAAAGGAATTTCCTTTGATCAGTTTTAAACTAGTTGCCTTTCAGTTTCAATGGATGTCTTTGTTCTTGTATTATGAGAATGGGTAAATAGAAGCTCACAATTTACCTTCACTAAACTAAACAGCCACACTCTTACCAGTTTCTTCAATCATCAGTTTACAAGACTTAGAAAAAAATCAGTATGTCTGGAAATGACATATTAGGGAAACAGTCAGTTCTTCTCTGCCATGTAATCCTCTATTACACACATTCATTTTACTTAACTGACCCAACCCACCTAACCTTAAGTATCCCCAGTCATGGCTCCTGGGTAGGCTGCCCTCTTTGGGACCCTTTTCAAGTCCCTCAAGTGCACCTCTTCTTACAAGAGGCAGGCCTGCACCCCCCCTTCCTGCGGTGGGATCCCACAATCCAACTACTCTGCAATGACATCTCTAGGTTACACCTCCCTGGGTGCCTAGAGGTGTAAAAGTTGGTCATAGAATCATAGAAAATCAGGGTTGGAAGTAGGTCAGCTAGTCCGATCCCCTGCTCAAAGCAGGCCCAATCCCCAGACAGATTTTTGCCCCAGATCCCTAAGTGGCCCCCTCAAGGAGGGGACTCACAACCCTGGGTTTAGCAGGCCAATGCTCAAACCACTGAGCTATCCCTCCCCCATGTTACCTAGCAGGTCCAACTGGGCTTGGACCCTGCCAGAGTTCTCCCTGCAGGAGCCTGTGGTCAGTAATAGCATGCAGACACACAGAACAGAAGCAGTTTCTCCAAAACAATGTATGATTTATTTTGCTCAATCAGCACAGAGAGATTAGAAAAGTGGATTTTAAATTAGCAAAGAGACCTATACACATATTGCTTGGTATTCCCCTCACGCGCCTTGTCAGACATGACATAGCCTCAGTGTTCCCTCTTCTCTCTGGACATCAAATTACAGCTGACTTGCTGCAGACCCTGGTTCTCAATCAACCTTTTCATGGGTCAGCCTCACAGCCTGCTCACACTTTCTCCCTTCCAGTTCTGCCAGGGCCACCTTTTAACCCATTAGAGTCTTATGATCTCAGATTTAGCCTTATGAAAGAGAAACAGTCTTAATCTGGATTGTGCCCAGACCAGGAGTTTCTTCCCCCAATTGAGGGCCCAGCCATTGTTGTCTTAAGGACTTTGAAGCAGGGTACCTGAGGCTGCCTTATTTGCATCATTGCATTACTCTTTCTGGGTTCCTCAACCCCACATTTTACAGCCTCCTTTGATTTGACTATTTACATTCAAGCAGGTAACAATATCAAACTGAACAGGGAAACAGGGTCATACATAATATTAGTAAGAAATAACACAGATGTTTCCCCAGTTTGTCACACCCTAATTTACATTCTTAATGGAAATATATTTCTGAAGTATAGATTTAATAAACTGTATCTAGTAAAGATTTAAACAGGAACATAATTCCAGGTTACCTTAAGGCCCTGATCCTGCAATTTGTCATATGAGGCTGGACCATAGCACCCATACAGAGCCACAGTGATTTCAGTGGGCCTCTGTGTGGGTGCAGCAGTCTGTCTGTGTGTTGTAAACTTCAGAATTAAGCCCTTAAATTAAGAATTCAAATGTTCTGATAGGGTCACCTATCACCAGAAGAATATTATTCTGAATAAAATTGAGATAGCTGATTTGTGTGGCGTTATAAGTTGTGTTAGTTGCCCGGAGGTGTAGGCTATTTAAATCAAAAGTAGATTTTGCACAGTATCTTTAAAACTGCCAAGTTGTAACACCTAAGATATTCATGTTTTATATAGTGAACACCACATAACATACTGCAGTGCACTGGAAATTAATACCTTTAATTTGATAGCTTGTTAGTACAGTCATTGTTATTTGGATCTTGGTGTACATTTTTAACAATTTTTGGGGGGTCAACATTAAGGTTGGACACGTGGTGTAAATTGTGGGGGGGGGGGTGAGCGGTGAAGGATAAGGTAGAGAAAGATGTTATTTCAGCTGCTCTGACCCAGCTTCCCAAATTTCCAATCAATGCTCACCCCAGACTTCACAGGAGCTACCCACATGCACAAGGATCCAACTGTGCAGATCAGCTTCTAGACTGGGGCCTATAGAACGGGTTACTGTATACTCTACGACATCAAAGAGATGTTTTCTATTTGCTCAAATATTCTATGTATCTTTTATTTGAAAAATCACCACCACTGGTATTCTGGCTATTTACTCATGAAAATGGCTGCTTAATGGATCCAGGTGTCAAGAGATGAAATGCTAATTCATTAAATTGGTCACATTGCCCTTTTATTAGTACACCATGATGCATACCACCTAGAGCTATAATCTGATCACACACAGACCAGATAAACTTTTCTATGCTCATATGAATACATGGACCAATGCCCCTCTCACCCTCTCCAATAAAAAAAAAATAGCCTACATACTCTTGCAAAATGTGCTTGAGTTCTCCCGGTATCTGACATAAATCCTGATCCTACAATCAGTTCC